GTTGAGCAGCGGGTCAGGCCACAACCTAGAAATGAATTTCTTGGTGTGGTGAGGTCAGAAAACCCGCAACACAAGTGCAGCACAGCACGCAAGACCTGTGTTGCTGACCCAGGGTTGATTGAATTAAACTTGATTGCCTTGTACAAATTGGCGCACAATTGTTTGGAAATGAAGCAGAAGTCCCACCATGGCCACCTTGAGTTTCCTTGCAAGGATAATGTTCAATTCACTTTGCACCAGTAGACTTTAGATGTCTCTCCCACTTAATTTCAGAAGTCATCTATAACACCATGTAAATACCCATGTAGCACGTTGACGTGCACACACAGAGAGTTTTGAAACAAATATTGAAGCCTTTTAGTTGGATTTAGACTGAGATTGTTGTTTAGCACCCTTTGTGCTTTGTGATTTGATTAAAGGATTTTCAGAATCCTTTGTTGTCAGAAGGGGTCAACTGACTTTCAACCTCTCAGGTGATAAGGGGAAGATGTGCTTGTTGTGGCACCTCTTTGATGGGTTGTTACAGGATCTATGGAAATTCTTTCGTGTGTGCACGTCGACATGCGACAAGGCTATTCACATGGTGTAAGTGGTTCTTTATGAGCTCATTATTGTTTTGTAACTCAAATCACATACACAATTACTTCTACCTATGATGAAAAAATATATTGATGATCTACAAATTGAGCTGAACTGAACTCCCCATATTGTTGGGATGGATTCAACAGGTTTGGTTATTATGACACATTTAAGGACATTGGCTACATTGTGGTGCAGTCTCTTGACCTTCTAGATGTTCAAATGCACATTAGTCTTGCTTAGAGTTATCCAAATCACCAAGTGGTAAACCACAAGAATAATTGGGTACCAGATCACTGAGTGATGGAGTCCAATCAGTATATCTGTGCAAGTTGATTCTTCAATGCAGCTTTTTGAGGGCTGGTAAAGTCACATATTGAGTCCCAATGTTCTTAGCATTGTATCAATATTGATGCACTGAAGTGTTACAATAGGTGGTACAGTACAATCCAGTTACCAATGAATGTCAAACTGTTGATCCAGAAGCTTTTTGCTTGATATGATGAGCTCCTGTTTAGAATTTGCACATGGTAACTCTTGAGTCACAAAGGCTCTTATTTATCAAAGAAAATTTAAATGTACATACAGGAATTTAGGGGGTCTCAAAAATTCTGGTAAGGGGAGAGGTATGGTGACTAAGGGTGGGTGTGAATACTGCAATCCAATTTCAAAACCTCTGCTTCAAATGTGAAAATTTGTAAAACAAGCACACAGAAAAAAAGACATGGTTTTCCCGTGGGAAAACACATTGTATTTAAAACAGTTGATGAGCCAGAATGTATCATTTTAACATTATTTGTGCTTTGTTTCTGTGTTTTGGCTCAGAAACTGCATTGAGTGTAATCAGTCTTCCCACAGGAGAATCCCTCTTGTGATCCTGTGGAATTTAATTCAAAGATTGAGGATTCAAAATTTACATACATATTTCTACTTGATTAGATCAGTAATTCCTTTTGTAAATTAGAACTTGGAGACTAGGGAAAAGGCAATTACTCAAAACATTTTTTGCCAAAGGCTGAACAAAGTAGTAAAATAGAGGAAACTTCGAAGAGCATTGAAGGTGAGAATTATGAAACAAAATTGGTTGGGTGGGGGTGGAAAAGAGTAAGAATGTTTAGGTTCTGTTTGGTGAATGACAGTGACAACAAAAGGCTGTTCTGACCATGAGCTCTCCCTACATGTCCATGTGTGGTGAATTATTTGGTGGTGGATAACAAAATTCTGCCACTACAGGGGGGTGAGTTAAGGAGTCTGATTGAGCAACCATGTTTCCATAACTCATACCACCAGCTCCTTGGTATCCAGGGTTGTGTAAGTCACTGGAAAAGACCCAAGCAAAACATCACCAATTCAGTACCAGTTTGATGCAATGAGCAAGGATGGAAACACATGAAGATCAAGTGACTTGTATACATACCCATGGTAGTTCAGGGCTTGGCCAGGTTTATTGTGATATTCATATGGGTAAGTAGGCATTGGTGGGCCTTCACCAAAGCAAGGGTAGCTTGAGGAATATTGGCCATGTCCTGAAGGATATGAGTAGGAAGGCTGACAGGAAAAGTCTTGACCATAATATCCTTGTGTATGTTTCACAGACTGATTGGAATGAAAAGATACAGCCCCTACTGTTGGAGGGTGATTCAGTGCACCACGACCAATTCCAGCCATATTGGGTGAAGCAGGCTCAGTGGAGCTAACATAGTCAGTGCACATGTGTGCATCATTTTCATATTGTGTATCACCATGATCCTGTGTGCTAAAATTTTGGCCAAAGCTTTGTGAACCGGCACTGGCAGGTGTTTGCTGGTTGTGGCCATGATCTGGGAATGTATCACCATTGACACTACTTCCTCTACTTAGATTGAACTGAATCTCTTGAATGTTAGCTTCTTCATGTTTTTGACGTTTGTATTGAAGAATCTGTACACCAATCCAAAAGAGTATGATAAAGCTGAATTTGGGCAAGAAAATCTTCAGTATATGATGTGGAATTCAATCAGTCACAACTTACCCTACAACACCTGCAATGATTGCAATCCCAGTAAGTGTGCCAGTAGATAGGCCAGTTGATGAGTCTTCTGGCTTGTGTTGACTGGAGAGTGAAATCAAAGGACCTGGAAGTATAGATGAAACAGGTGTGTGGGTAGTGTCTGTAACACTGACAGTATCTGTAGTAGGGGTGGTCAGGCCAGTTGAATCAGGAAATGTGGTTAATGGTACTATGGGAGCAACTGTTGCATTGCTTGTAGTTGTGCTGTTCAGACCAGGAGGCATGGAAGTTGTGTTAGCAGAGTTAGGAGTTGTGACATCTGCTGTGGATGCTGGGGTGGGTGTAGAATCAACAGTGGCAGCTGTGTTCTTGGCAGACACATCTGGACCTGCTGTAGACTTGGTAGAGTTTGATGCCTGTGGTAATTGGATAGAGAGGAATATGTGTCTTCAATTAAGAAAGCCACAGGAGGAAACCTTTGGAAGAAGGGCAAGGAGCACAGAGAGAAGACAAACCAGGTTGTTTGACACAGGTGAGGTTGGCAAGTCTGTAGTGCTGTTGGAAAAGGTCACTGGTGTAGTAGTTGAACCCACGGGCAACACTGGTAGATTTGCAGTGGTTGAACCCATGGGCAACGCTGGTAGATTTGTAGTGGTTGAACCCATGGGCAACACTGGTAGATTTTGAGAAGTAGAATCTGTGGGTGAAACTGGTGGATTTGCAGAAGTGGAAGGTGTGGCATCTCTGCTTGCATTGCTTGGATTGGTAGGCACAGGTTGCTCAGAGGGACCCACAGTTTCAGCTCTTGGCGGCAAAGGTTGTGAAGCACTGGTTGAAGGATTTGTCCCAGTGGATTGATCAATTTTGGGAGTCAGGGTACCACCTGATAACAGATTACCAACTCCCCCCAAGATTGAAGAAAGCTGGCGACGTTGAAGAGGGCACTTGATTGACCCATTTGGTATAGTGAAAGCTATAGCTTGCATGTCGGAATGTGTGACAACAAGGGTATGGCCCCAGGTGGGATACTGTGGCTTGGCTGTTTCTTACTATGAACGGTGTTTATTTTGGTGGAGAGGCAAAAGAGCAATGATTTGAAGTAGATTGATTGCTATCAGATACGCGGCTTACCAGCAGGCCTGATAAGGTAACAAAAACAAGCATCAGTATAGACTTTGGACTGACTAGTCGACACAACAACAGACTAACTTGTCGTGATTGAAACAAGAGGCCACACTCTCGCCTTCTGTGTCGGACCCTTGGTGCAACAATGCAAAACTCCGGGTGTGCCGGAGTGGAACACACAATTGCGTAAAGGATCAAGTCTTCGTGATGAGAACCAAGAATTACAAATACATACATACATCAGTGTTCAGAGGACTTTGATCACAACAAATCAAAAGGGACTTTACCTTGTGCAGGGGTTCAAAGCCCAATACGCAACACAGGAGAAATGAGAATGTTCGGGTGGCGAAAGCGAGCTGCGTTAATTTCACTTTTAGAACCTGTTCAAGTGGAATCGTTTCAACTGGTTTGAGTCTGTGTTTGAGGAATTAGTTATGATGACAAAGAGATTAAAGACTCTTAAGATTGATTCGCAGACAAACAAACGAACCACCAAAGTCGAAACTAAGGCGATCGAGCTGATTTCACCACGTACGAGTGAAAAAGATGAGTCCAATAACTCAAGAGTCAAAGAATCAGGGTAGATCTTTTGACGTAATAAGTAGCCAACCTCAAGTTTTGAGGTAGATTTATTTTTTGGAAGCGAGATAGAGCGAAATATATAGGGATCCCAATATATATTAGAGGATGCAGAGAAAAATTTGTAAAGGTTGGAAGGATGAGAAGTCAAAACAAACCCAGAAAGCTGTTTTTTTGAAAGACAACTGGAGACAATCTTTTGGTATCTGTCTGCGTGTAGCTGTTGACACAGTTTCAGGGGTTCGCAGTATCTCTCCAGAAGGAGTACAAATATATGAATTTCACAATCATTAATCGCATTTGTCTGGCTGCGAGACTTGATCATGAGAGCTCGACTTTATTGAATTTTGCATTTTTCCATCTCTGTGATTGCCTTCCTTGGATTTCGCCAGAAATATGTGCGCTTCTGTCTGACTGTCCTAACGTTTGCTTTGGAAGGATGCAGTAGAAAGTCATTTTGTGGTTTTTCAATACTCCTCCTGCCCAACCCAAGCAAGTCGGCCAAGAACGGGTTCGGAGGGAATTGTGTGCATGGATGGTGATCTCGTGGAATTGGAAGGATGTTAAGCTAAATGGATGATCTCATCAAATAAATATGTAAATCGACCACTTAATTAAAGAAGGAATGATTAATTTAATGAAGTCCAAGCATTTCAAGTTGACTTAGCCCAGACTTAAGCTAGTTAAGTGGTCAAAGATAGTGATCAATCAAAACTTAGTGAAGAATGCTTTACACTTATCCCAAATTCAACCAATTCAATAAACCAAATCAAGTTCAATACAAAATACATCACTTCAAACATCAATCATACTGCTTCCTCAATGCTAATCGATCAACCTCCAACAAGACCATCAGAACCAAATTCTAAACCAACAAAATTAACCCAAACTCATTTATCAATAAACCTTTCACCTTCTTCTACAATCTCCAGGATCACTTCACGTGATTTGAAAGGTGCTTTACATGTCGTCTTAGTGGTTTATGATTTAGTATGTATCTTTTGAATTAAATATTCATTTTATAAATGCAATATCTTGTCAGCTTCTAATACGCGTTTGATCTTATTTGGTTTCTAGTTACCAGCTGGGAAACTTTCAAATATAGCTTGGTATCTTGGAGTTGGACTTTATCATTCAGCTATTCGAATTCCTGAATTAGGTAGAGAATTCGCATTTGGTGGTCATCCAAATTCAGATATCTCTGGTATCTTTTCACTTCCAATTCGATCAGATGGTAAACCACCCATGCCAGGTTTAAGATTAGTATCAGAAGTAGATATGGGACAAATCAGAACAAATCCGTTACCTCAAAAGTCATCCTTACCTCGGAATTCAAGTACATCCACTCCAACCGAAACAAGAAGATTGATGCGTTCTTCAGCTAGTACGAGATCTTCTGTCAATACATCAAGTTCTGTACAGAGTCCTACTTCTACAACACATTCTAAAGCTTCGGCGTATCCAACAATTCAAGAAGAAAGTCTTGAGATGGCTCATGATCATAGTCAAGAAGGAACCTCATCGGCTTCTTCAATGGCTTCGGATGTATCTGATCTTACCCCAAATCGAACTCAACTTGAAACTTTTGAACACGTCTTGACTCAACTTGATGAATCACCAGACTGGAGGGGAACATCTTATGATCTTTTACGACGAAATTGTAATACATTCAGCGATGAGTTATGCATGCTTCTCACGGGTCGTCGAACTCCTGGTTGGATCAATCGTGCAGCAGCAGTAGGAACTGCATTGCCGTGTTTAGTACCAGAGGGGTTCGTTATTTCACATAGTCTTCCCCTCCCTATTCAAATCGAGAAAATCATAGTGCTGAGACACCTCTCTGTGTTCTTTTTCGTATAGTTGGATAGAACCGCCTATAGTTGATATCACACCACCACCATCAACATCAACATCAACCACACCTCAGGCATATGAACCACCAAAGCAGGAGATGAGGATATGAAACCTCATCCAATGTTGAATAATTTATTCCGAAAACTAGCGAATTCGAAACCAAGGCATCTCAAGACATTGTTATTGTGAACACGATAGTCTAATCATATGATCTATCTTTGACCACAATCGATGTCAATTGAAAATTTCATCCAGTCTTTGCAACCCTTCAATCTTCATTTTTCGCATTTTTTGTTTTACAATGCATTGATCCTCTTAGGAAACGTTTCTCTCTCCAATCGATAATGTTGTTTCCACAATCATCTTTCACTTTTGTTCCATGTGTCGTCATTTACTTTTTAACCTGATTTGTATTGATCACCATTTTTATGTGTTACCATTTCTCTTTGGTCTCATAGTATTTATTGTACGCATCATGAATGGGATATGTTGTAATGATGATTTAGGGACATGTAGTGATCTTCATCTTTTATAAAGTCAAATAAAATATATTTCTAGATGGTGACTCACTGTTTTACCCTGAGGGGTTGAGATTCATTGATCAAATCTCATCAATCACGAAAGAATGTGTTACGAAAAATAATAGAAATAAATGAAGATAAAAATAATGATATTATAGTCCACCGATGATCATAAAGTCTAAAGTCCATTTCTTTTGACCTCAAAAAAAGATCACGTATTAATCAAGTCTGGAACAAACATAAACGTTAAAGATAATTAAAATCAACCCATTCAGTATAATTCTAAATAAGAATCCAAACAAAAATGAATTATTTCCAAATCAGTGATCAAAAATCATAAACCGACTATAATGAAAGAAAAAAGAAATTCCATACCAGTTGAAGTATATCAGAAAGAACATAAGGTTTAAGTAAAGATTTTGATAGTTCTCTTTTCCCCAACGATCCCGGTCCAGTATTATTGAATTCTTCAAATTCAATAAAATCAATTCTAAGATCTAAAGGTACATTCCAACCAATCCATCCAACCGGATTAATCACATCTGACATAAATGAATTTTGAAATCCTACTCTAGCAAAGATTCCCCATGGTCTTCCTAAATATGCAGATTTAGCTTTGGCACCCACTGAAATAATCTTGGCTTGATTAAATAAGAAAAATCCTAAACTTTCTTCATAATTCCTTCCGCTAGCTGTGATCCTGTTACGAAAATGTCTTTAATAGGTTACATAAGTTGGATGGGCAAAACTTTTCGACATACGTTTCCTTTGAATTTGAAGCCTTGATCCCAATTGTCGTTTGCTCGAACCATGTCATTGAATCCCGACCGAAAATAAAGTCTGAAGCACAAAGCACGATCAGATGATTTCTGCAAACAAAACTCCCACCCAAAAGGTCTACTTACCAACGGCGCCTTCAATATAACATCGACTATATAGTTGAGTTCCTTTATATGCTCTGAGGGTATCCTGAAAGCTGCTAAAAGAGCAACCATAAAAACCTTACAAAAAAGACCAATATCCCTAATGTTGATCGTCTTTCATTACGAAATTGTTAAATAAATTTCAAATAAATTCTGCTCAAACCTTGTCGGGAGCCTTTTGCACTGAGAGCCAGAGCTTGGGTATCTGTTCCATTTCCATAGTTGTTGACTAGGTTTCTAAAGGTGCAAGTTCACAAATATGAGTCGATGCTAAACAACTTTCTTTGACCACTAGCTTTGAGAGACGTACATGTTATACATGGCAAAGCTGAAGATGTTGGTCGATTAATCAGTCACATCGTCAGACCATGACCTTCAATTAAATAGCAAGGTGTACATACTCATGCTTCAATACATTCACTGTGGCACTAGCTGAATCATTTCCTGCATCTTTGGCCGAGAGTGCAATTTGGATAGTGACCTTGTTGCCGATATACGTCGTAGGGTCATCTGTTTCTCCTTGTACGATGAGAGGCTAAAGAAAGAGGAGATAAATATGAATAGTGGTGAATAAAATGCGCGAGTAAATAAAACTGCTTACGTGCTTGTAGTTGATAACCAATTGTTCGTTATATAGCCCTAACAATGCGCCAATACATCTTCAGCAAGCCAATAGCCGTGAGTTCTTTCAAATAAAAATTTGAACGCAATACGAACCGCCGTGGATGTATATGTGCTGAAGCCCAGTGCGATTCTGAAGGGCGTTGAGAGCCTCTTGGATTGTACTAGGCACGATTTCGAAATAAGGTTCAGTGATCCGTATCACAAGCAAAAGCAACATCCCAATCTGATAACCCGATCGATGTGCTCACGCAAACTCCTCGACGTCCGCTGTATTTTGACGCACGACAAGCATGCCTGATGGCTTCGCATGATCTTGATCTTCAGAATGAGTCGCGTATGAAGGAACGGTGGGAGACGGTGCGCCAAGAATGCCGATCGACGTAAGGACCAAATATAGGACCAGATAATTCGAAAACCGAGAATGGAATCTCATCAGAAAGATAGAGAGGCCCATCTTGACTTCAGCTTGACGGACAAGTATCGGTTAGAGACAACGAAAAATCAGCCGAAGCAAGGATCAAAGAAACGAAAAGACACAGGGAATCTATCCCCACTTCAGACTCCGGAGTACTGGGAGACCACGGGAGACCACATCAATGTGGACGCTTGTGGACGTTCAAGCCACGGCCACCGCTGATAATTACTCACCTGAGACTTGATTGGCTGTACCAGTGTACCACAATTCAAAGCGTTCGAATTTCGGGAGGATGTTGCTGTATACATATGTATTCAGCCGAAAGGACCTCTGTTCCAGATGCTGACTGCATGCGCCGATGCTCTTCATCAATCGAAGCACCATTAACGCCAGCAATCGGGGAGATAAATCTGTTTTGATTTTTTGTGACCAAATGGAGCTGATGATTGACATGGTTTTGGGGATTGTTGTGATTGTCTACGAGTAGTTTGATTTACGATAGAGCTGATGCTAGGATTGTTAGATCTTTTATTGAGACTGATACTCTGACGATCAACATCAGTTTGGGTATGTACTCTTTGGTAAACGGATGTGCCTCCCTGGATGTATGCTTGTCCCTGAAATTAGGTCTTTGGAAAGAGGGAATTGTTATGAAAAGAATTTGTAGGTCGAAGGATTGTGCACAATCTTGAACACTGCTCCGATTTGCCCATTTAAAGGAGTATGAAACAAAGACTGGGGTCCCCAAGTGATGAAGCTCAGCAGAATCATTTCAGAGTAAGAGTCAGACGGACATTGAATTCAACTCAAGATGACTGGATAACTGATCATACAGTTCAAAAATCTCGGTACAGGTTCAAGCAAATTTATTTCGAGCAATTATTGATAAATAGTCATCATATATGACATGCAAGACAGACTTCTCCTTGATCATGACACTGGTAACCCACAAACCATACAGTCAGTCGTGCCAGGCTCATTTTCAAACGTACAATGAGGACAGGCCAAGCTCGCAGTGCCTTGTTCGTCAGCCGGAAGCGTGCCACCCATTTGAACATCATTATATGAATCGGCAGGGATGTCTGGGAAGCCATCAGCCGCAGTGCCGTTGTTAGCTGTCTGAGATTGGCTCGCATAGTCCCTCGCAGGTACTGGTGGTCCTGAACGTAGATAATGAATCGTAAGCCACCGTTGCAAAGATTCCTTCACCATAAAAGTCTAGGAGAGTAGTAAGAGATGATATCTCACCAGGTAAAGTCTCTTTCAAGATGGCCATGAATGTTTGCCATGAATTAGTGTGGAAAAGTTTTTCAGCAGCTGATAGAAAGATGTTCATGTCTTGACAAAGGGCAAACTTGGCAAGATAAGTAAGATCGGTCTAAAAGAATTCGCAGCAAGTCAAGTTCAAAGATCTACTGAGAGATAGCAATCATTATTGAAAACGTACCCGGTCAAAGATCCCGACGGTATCAATAAACGCAATCAAATGCCAATCACTCAAGAAGGTTTGTAGCTCTAGCAAACAATCTCCATCCTGTTCTTTTCCTTTACCTTTGATATTATATGCAGAGTGCTGTTGAGGAAACGCGTCGATGACTTTTCTTAAAACAGGGCCCAATCTATTGATAACGACATCCATTGATTGATCGTGAAGCCCTGCTCGATTCTCGATGGGGAAGGGGGTCGGTGTTCGAAATGAAGGAGATGGATCCGCTGGGAAACCGTGAGTTAACTGTCGAAATCATGGCCATTAGCACGGCCTGTTCGAATTCAACGGTAGAGAGATGACAAACCGAGACAAGCAAGTAGTCAACAGGAAAGCAAGGTTTAGCGTTCTCCTTAATATCGATCCCGTATTTGTTTTTATATCGATAGAATACATCTGGTATATACCGAGCACTAGATGACGTTTGCTCTTGGGTTCGATCTTCATCCTTCAGCCTCACTGTTCCGGGCTCTACACTAGCTTCTATCATGTCAGCCTTGACCATCGCGACCGCCTGATCACTGGCTTGGTAGGCAGTCACATCGATACTGCCATCTTGATTACCGGTGATTACGCAAGTCACAAATTTGCTGGAGAATCGGCCTGATGCTGAAAATCTCGACGGGTTCGGTCGCTTGGCTTGTTGATGAGCAGCAAAGATAGTTTCGAGCGATGAGAGAAAGAAAGACTGAGCATGTCGCTTGTATAACACCTTAGCTGCGGCCTTTGCCTCTGGAGTTGTCTCATCAGGCGTCAGATCCGTATAGATCATTCCGAGGACTTGAAGGCCACAAAGATTAGCCAAGTCTTCCATCTTTCCTTCCTCGTCCCATGGTAGGCCGATCTGGATCCCATCGAGTTCACCCTGTTGAGGCGGTTCATGAACCGCCTCCACCACAGCCTTGATTCCTAGCGGAACTTGGTCATAACGCTCATAACGCCCCAGAAGGTAACCGAACCTCTGACAGCCAGTTCTTCTCCAGAAATCCAAGAGGTTTTCGATCAGTGCGGGAGTAGCAAACTCGACATGGTCTACCATACGATATTGCTGTAATTGTAATGTTATAGCGCTCGGCTGACATTTACTACAAATGCCTGCCGGGAAGGGCGAGTGCGTTTGTGACGGACATGGTATGGCGACTTGGTAATTAAGTTCTTCAAGTGGTGGGATATATGATGCGCCTGATTCGGGCTTGTTGGTTGCGGCGTTCAGTTTGCGAAGATGAGCTTGAAATGAAAGATGTTTGATTCCAGATTCGGCGTGATGTTTTGCGTCATATGGCTATGAAAAGGTAGTGTGAGAAGATGGATAACATGTCACAGCGAGGAATCGTGTCTAAGGAGTCTTTCAACTTACCTCGAGTGGCATGCAATAGTCACACATACTCTTATCTCCATGACGACAAAACTTTACATCCCTTTTCCGCGGAATTTTACCATCATCCTTCTCGAGGAGTACATCTACTGCATGTTCCTTCGCATCTTTCCAAGCCTGCCTGCCCTTCAAATCATTCTTGAGTCCGCTTGACGATGATGTCGGCTGAGGGGCTTGCTGGTACACGGAAGAGTTGATGGGAACCGCTGAACCAGACGGAGATAATGTTTTGTAGGATGCAAAGTAAAGATCACCATGTCTTGCAAAACAGACAAAGGAAATTGATTCGGGACGGTCAGGAGCCTGGTAAACGCGATAATAACGGATTAGCATACTTGATACCGAGCTGATTCAGAGTCCCGCGGACACTTGAAACCGGCTTCTCGCCTCCATTGGGCTGATTAGACAAAGCCAAAGTACTGGGATCGGCCTCAGGAGCATCGTTCAAGATCTACGATTTTTGATAGATAAAAAAGCTATTTTCAGCACAATGTCTAATACCAAATTTTCAAAAAGTGTCGAGGGACAAGGCTAAAGATTTCTTCAAACCTTTTCGACCAAGACCTGTATATCATCATTTGGGGATAACTCATATCGAGCGCTACCATTTTGCGATCGGACTCGAACAAGCTGATCGGAGTTGCGTAAAGTGAATGGATTCAGCTAAATGATGATGAGACCAGATGCCAATGAAGAAAAACATACCATTGTTCGCTTAAAATTGTAAATAGCAGATGAAAAGGATGAATGAATGATAATTCTTTTGTTAGTCTGATTCTGGAGACCTCCTTGAAGCAAATAGTGACGCAATTGGCCAAAATCTGAGTAAACCTGTATACAGGCTTGGCAACTTAATCACATATGCTAAGCTTATCAACCATGTCATGTTTTATGCTGTGACATCTCACACCGCGGGAATCAACTGGTTTGAAACCCGATTGAGAGGAATTTCGGTGTCCGGGTTCAAAATTTCCTCGAATCGTGAATCTTGTTCACAACTCGTTCGCATTATGTTTGCCGATTCCCCTCGGGCTGTACTCTGTACTCGGCTGGCCCCGTGTATGTACAGTCACATCAGACAGCAACATCCCCTTTCACCATTCCTCACCTTCATCCTCATTCTTCAAGCCTCGATCAACCGAAAAAAAGCAGTTCAGCGGGAACATGATCAGCGGTGAGATATGTAGTCAAACGGTTGGAATCACAGGTTTTGCAAGTGCTGTGTAAGTGTATGTATTGTAGTCTACTCAAGGGAAATCGGCGAAGGTAATGCTAACGAGTTGTGAACGAGTTTCACGATTCGAGGAAATTTCGAACCCGGACACTGAAATTCTGCTCAATCGGGTTTCAAACAAGTTAATTCCCGCAGTGTCACACAGCCCGACGTAAACCAGCCCTTGTTTGTGATGCCAAGTTTGATGAGGGAAGTACCTATTTTACCAATATTCCAATCCGTAAATAGAGCATTTTCTAACAAAAGCCGATAAGTTCATCGACAAGATCAACATCATCCCTCTCGATATCCACCAAAACTCCATCCAACCACCCTCACTATGCCGTCAAAACGCCCTCCGGGCACCGACGAGGATAACCCATCTCCTCACCCGAAAAACCCCAGACCAAACCACGCACCGATTGACCCTAATGCCATGGAAGACGTTTTGACATCTCTAGCCAATAAAGACGCTGGAACAAACGATGCTCTTTTACGTACGGTCATCCAAATGCTATCAATGTTCATGGAAACAATCAAGAAATTAAATGACAAGATTGATAAACTCGAAGCGGATCAAAGCAAAGACGCACAAATTAATTCACGATTGTCACCCCAAGACCCACCAATACCTAGTCAACCAGCCTTGTCGAGACCAAACGCATGGACGAACCCATACCCAAAACGTACGACAGCTACCACTGCCCCGAAACCTCCCCCAAAAAATGCGGACATCAATAAATTTAAGACAGCAACACTCATCATCCACAAGGCTCCGGGACTCGAACCTTTCAAGGGTATGAAAAGCTCTGAAATAGTACGAAGCATAAACTCGTCACTTATCTCGCTAGATGCAAAAGTTAACGACAAACCAGTGAAAATTAGAGGAGCCAAAACCCTAAAATCAGGAGACATACCTATGCACGTTGATAATAGAATGATGAAAAGCTGGCTTCTAGAAAACAAACACATCTGGACTAAACTCGCGCATAAAGATTTTGAAACGCCCCAAGCCAGATACCCAATTCTCTTCAACTTTGTCCCAGCAGATATCGACGTCAACAACAAAAACTTCCCGGAAAAACTCAGTTTGGAAAACAACATACCTATTGAAAGTATTCACTCAGTTAGATGGATCAAAGACCCAATTGACACAAAGAAGAAACATGGTACAATTGTACTCAACTTACTCGATAAAGACTTAGCTTGGAAGATCGAGAAGGGCAGACTATTTGCCAACTGCCACTGAATTAAAAGCAAACACTATGAACAAGGCCCCACAATGTGCTTCAACTGCCTCAATTTATACCACACTCACACTTCATGTACTGGACAACCAAATTGTGCAAAATGTGGCGACCCCCATAGCTCACGTGAATGCGCCAACAACGACTCGGATCAAGTCTGCGCGAGATGTTTTAGTTGTGATAGCCTCAAAACTACTTGTAAGCTTGACCGTTTCACTACCAAATACAATCACTCCCCAAAAAGTTTAAATTGTCCACTCCGCAACACACAGTTTAAAATACCCCCTCCCACAAATATAGAAGACTAGCCCTATCAGCGGCGGGCGCCGCACTTCATTGGTGTTATGTGTTGAGTGTTTTTTAGATGTGGATGCTGTGACAATCTTACCTTGTGATTTTATTTGCATTCATAGTCTTGAGTCTCTGAAGACACCACACATCCATCAAAGACCTGAAGTGTCCCCATAATCATTTGACACAATGCAACAAATCTCATGACTGATTTTTTGGAACCCTTGAGCACCAATTACCAGTCTTGATGGCAGATATATATTGTACTTTCTAGTGCTTTAACAAAGTTGGCACAAATCCAATTCATCATGTATGATTAAAACCTTCAAGACCCTTGATGCCACATTGAAAAAGCACACAAACTTTGGTCACACCTACAGCCGTCTTCAAGATCCTTGATTTTTTGGGCATCCACCATTTTTGCAAAAGTCCAAATCAGTGCTCAAAACCCTTTTTAGACATGTCAATTCCACACTCTCTTGCATGCATATGGAAAGCAAAAAAGAATAGTTGAAATGTCATAATGTCCCCACCTGAGATGCCAAAGCCTAAAGTTTGCAAATTAATCTTCTCATTTGTCAAATATAAATTGTATGTGAAGTGAACTCGTAGAAGCCGTAAAAAGGCTATGCCGTATGAGAAAAGAACACCTGGGGTAATCAGGTGAGGCGTAAGCAATACGGCACAAGCCTATCGAGCTTCAAAGAGCTTCAAAAACTAAAACACACCTGGGGTAATCAGGTGAGGCGTAAGCAATACGGCACAAGCCTATCGAGCTTCGAAGAGCTTCAAAAACTAAAACACACCTGTGCTCAGTGCAACAGGATAAGGCAAAGATTGAGATGCGGAGAAAGTAAGTAAGATGAAAAATATGTTTCTTTCCGATGAGCATTACTAACCTGGGGTAATCAGGTGAGGCGTAAGCAATACGGCACAAGCCTATCGAGCTTCGAAGAGCTTCAAAAACTAAAACACACCTGATCACACCACGCACAACATAAGTTAGTAAGAAAAAGAAAAAGAAAAACAGAAAGAAAAGCAAGACAAACCTGTGCTCAGTGCAACAGGATAAGGCAAAGATTGAGATGCGGAGAAAGTAAGTAAGATGAAAAATATGTTTCTTTCCGATGAGGAAAGAAACAAAAGATCGTACACAGGACGTCATATAAATGAGACTGAACAAAAACAAACATAAAATTAAAAGAAAAAGAAACAGCTCAGGTCACATACGACCTATTCCCTAATTAGAAAGAACCATCCTAGCAACCTCTGACCGCACACTCAAATCGTTACTGTATTAATTGTAATTTGTGAATAATTTGCCTTATGAACTCGTCTTGATTTTCTTTAGTAAATAAGTAACTCGCACGGAAGTCCTTGACCAGTTGATGAGTACTAAGTTACCTATAAGTAATAATAACCACACACACATGAAAAATAGATAAAACGTGGTATAGAAATACCACGACACGCCCCCTCAAGGACTTCAGGGAGTATCATTGAACATGCTTTAAACCAAGGAGTTGTCGAAGATAAAAGAACTGTTGACGTCCCAGTGGTTTAGTTAGCAAATCAGCCATCATATCAGTAGTCGGACAATGTTTAACCACCAGAGCACCCTGTTTGACAACCTCCCTGATCCAATGATACTGAATCTCGATGTGCTTGGTGCGAGCGTGAAATATGGACTTTGTCGTAAGATGAATAGCGCCCATGTTGTCACTCCGAAGCTCCGTAGGGTTAGGGTCTTCAAAACCAAACATAGCCAACATACCCCGCAACCACAACAACTCCTGACCGGCCTCTGTAATAGCGCGATACTCGGCTTCCGTCGAGGATAAAGCCACAGTCGGTTGTAGTCGAGACTTCCAAGACAACGGCCCGCCAGCCAATAAGAAGATATAGCCAGTTGTAGACCTGCGAGACTCACGATCCCCAGCCCAGTCAGAGTCGCAATGAGAAACAGGGAGATTAAAACTCTTGAGGCCAGTTACCGCAGTAGAAGACGACACGTTCCCGTCATAAGAAATGCCCAAATTTATGGTGCCGAGAAGATAACGAAAAACATGTATAACGGCGTCCCAATGCTTCCTGGCAGGTGAGTCCAGATGTTGAGAGAGCACGCCGACGGCGTATGATAGATCAGGTCGGTTACACTGGGCCAAGTACATCAGAGAACCAACAGCACTGCGGTAGTTGAGGTGCTCAAGTTGAAACGCAGCTGCCTCGTCGTCGCTGGACCTATAAAGCTTCAAACCTGCAGGAAACGGAGTCGAGGCAGTCTTTAAAGCCAACATATCAAATTTTTCAAGAACTGCACGAGCCAAGGCAGACTGGGTTATGGTGTAACAAAAAGGTGATTGCCGAATTAGTTGAATACCAACTACGGTCGTCGCGATTCCCAGATCCTCCATCTCCCACTTCTTGCTGATCTCAGATTTAAAGGTGGCAATGTCATTACCGGTAATAGCCAGGTCATCAACATGTACATAGATCGCCGTAAATGAATCAGAGGTGTGACGAATGTAAATGCATGGATCTATAACACACTGCTTGAAACCCAAGCTAACCAAAAAGCTGACAACGTCGTCGTACCAAATTTTAGGTGATTGTCGTAACCCATAAAGAGCCCGTCGCAAACGGCACACCTTCTTTCCAGACCCGTGGTGGAAACCCTCAGGTTGGTACATATAAACCTCCTCATCCAATAGACCATTAAGAAAAGCGGTCACGGCATCCATCTGATGTATCTCCCAACCTTGAATCGCCGCAAAAGCAATAAGCAGACGAAGGGAAGAGGGTTTTCCGGTAGGTGAAAAAGTTTCGTGAAAATCAATCCCTTCCTGTTGCATATTACCCATGACAACAAAACGAGCTTTGAATTTCGACACCGTACCATCAATGTTGAATTTCTTGCGAAACAACCAGAAGCCACGCAGAATGTTCTTGCCTTGAGGAGGATCCACCAGCTCCCAGACTCCCTTATTGGTGAGT